TTTTCTCACAAAAGTATGTGGCATGCCTTCATTCAAATTTTTATTGGGAAATATAGCTAACAGGATTTTAGGAGCAACAGTTATATTATTAGGAATATTCCATATTTAAAGTTCAACATCACCTCCTTAGAGGTTTTGAAAAGTCAAGAAATTACAGAACATACACACGACTTGAACACAGATTTTGGATCCCATAAGATAAGGAACAAAGGGACGATGATTCCAAACCCCTCTAGCATGGAGGCTTTAATTCTGGGATTCAGCCTCTTTCTTCTCTATCAGTTTGAGGAAATTGCGAACAATAGTCTTGCCTTCAGGTGTTATGATGCTTTCTGGGTGGAACTGAACACCCTGTGGTAATTAACAATTTGTTTATGAAAATTAGATCAGTCTATCAACCCCATGAAGCAGCATAAATAAAAACAACATTGGCTAAACAACAGAGTGAATGGGGAAGATGTACAACTTAGTCAAAACTGAGCAAATGTGGCAAAGTAACAGACGAGTCATGGAAACCACTAGACTATGCAAATGCAATTCCTGAAAGACGGGTTCTCTTTCTTTCTATCAAACTTTTCTTCTGAGTATTTAGGCCATGGACTGAATTCTAAGAGCCAATTCACATGCATATTGAACACATACATAACTGTGTGAAAAGATTAATATATAAATGAAGGTGCAACACCATGTATATAGAGTTAGGATCAACTTACAAATACTTACATAAAGTCCTGACCATTCATCTCTCCAATCTGGATGGCTGAAATTTTTTTTTTATCTAAAAAGTTGTGATAAATCTTAGTCATTCATAATGGAAAATGAATGGCTATGATTGTGTAAGACCTATGTATAAGTCTTGTGTATAAGAGGATCCTAACTCTCATATGCATTCATATAACAGATGTGCTCTGTCTAGACATGAAAAAGCATTTCTTACCTGTACATGCTTGTATTTCTTGTGTCGAGCAGCCATTACCAGTCCATCTTCAGTCCATGCTGTGATCTCAAGTGCTTCAACAGGAAAACTCTCTTTCTCAATAACAAGGCTGTGATATCTCCCCACAGTGAAAGGGCTGAAAAAATACAAGGATGGTTAAATGTGCCAATAACTTCATTTATAACTAATGACAATATTTTCAAAATTATTTTACTTGAACAAGTTTTAGATGCAATAAGGGCTTCTTTGATGATAAAATACAAACAAGGAACAAGATTATAAAATGATAATGAAGTCTTGACATGATAGACCAAGGCCAAAACAGCACAGGGGAACTACAATATTTCTCAAGAATTTGATTTTTTCTTTTTCCCAATAGGCTCTGTACCATACTGGTAATTTCTTAAAAGCCTAATACTAAGAGAGGTATAGACATTGGTGTTTACTAGTTGGAACTGCAAAAAAAATTAAGTGGAAAAGCACTCAAAACTTAATCATTTCAATAAAGCACTTTAAAAATTAGGATGTTTTAGTCTTTTTCAATGAGAATGTATTAAAACAACATAGTTTTGGGTTATTTTTCTGCCTAATTTTTTTGAAGGTATGGCTGAAAAACATTTTTCCCATATATAATATGTATATATGTAAAGACTTTGAATACAATCTCAAGCCACTACTCATAAATTCATAAATAAAAAGATCCATGTAAATATTACAGAATGAAAAAAGCTTTGGCTCAGGTCGTGGGATTGAAAGATGACCAGGTACCAGGGAGTATCACAGCACAAAGGAAAATGACTCAGGCATTTCAAGGATTTTAAGAGAAGCTAGGGAACTGGATACTCGTTTAGCTTTCTTCAGCCTGAAACATCAGCCTAGGGTCAAGGACAGCATTAAGAAATATGCTGAAGGTACTAATAACTGATACTCGAAAAGGTAATTGATATCATCATAATTTTAATACTGAAAGTACTAATAACTGATACTTGAAAAAGTAAAAATGTGCCAGTTAAGGAAACTCCACGCTCAGAAAATCTTGAGCGACAGGAATCATTTCAAAAGACATGCAAATTTGAATTAAATGGTTAACAAATGGACTCTAGGAGCGTGCATGTTAATAGAAGAATTTTTTTTATTTTTTATTTTTTTGGTGTCAAATAGCATAAAATTGAATACATTTGCAGAATAATAAGAAGGATTTGGGTATGAGAAAATAAGTACATACTTGGGTAATCCAGCAAACAAGCCATCTTCACCTTTCTCATCATGGTATACAGGAGAACTTTTGCCATGCATAACACCATAAGGAGAACGCACTATTTTTCCTGCATCACAAATAAGTAAAGATAAATTAAATCTTGCCACCAGGCGGCTATCCTGTTGCAAGAACAACAACATTAACCAGAGTGTATGCAAGGGTAAAACATTAACAAGAAAAATGTTATATAGATCAAGCAAATGGATCCATAAATGGCTAAAAATATCTCGGAGGGCCTACCTCCAAATGCCTCTCCAATGCACTGCAAACCCATACAGACACCAAACAAAGGCACAGTAGGTCCGAGCTCCAAAACAGTTTGCAGTGATATTCCAGAATCTTGAGGCGTGCCTATACAAAGGATCAAAAGCATAAAATGATAAGCGTATTCCATTTCTTACTCCCCCTCAGTACCTACTCTATTCAAAGATAAATTATCAAACTAGAAAATTGAATTCTTACCTGGACCAGGGGATATAAGAATTCCTCTAGGATTTTTCCTACAAAAAATAGCGATTATTCCAGTCATTAAATTGAATCCACTAATTTGAAATTATACTCTAAAATTAACTCTCAACTGCTCAAATGGACATTTTTGTTGCACAAATGAATTGGAAAAAAGCATTTTACAAATCAAGAAGTGGATTCTTACCTTTTCAACTCCTCCACTGTTAGCTCATCATTACGGTAAACCTCAAAATGACATCCAAGCTCTCCCATGTACTGCAGAATTACAAGTAGTTTCAGAGATGAAGTTTTTTAATCGAGAATACCATATGTTGGCAATGAGGCACAATAGCTTGGACAGCATAAAAGAAACAGAATTGTAAGCACAAAAGTCATTTAGCCAACTCATGGCAACCCCTTTGTAAAGAAATTATATTTTTATGTCTGTCCAATAGGATTGGTGCATGCTTATTCTTGATAATAGGCGTTAGATAGGTGTGCTGGTGATATTTGGTTAAAAAATTTGTCCTATAACTATAATAGATGTGAATAGTTGTATGTTCATATTGTTGACCATCATTAGTGACAATTGCAAAGACAGGTAAACTTTTTGGTTCAAATTTGCACATTCCAAGATCTAATGAACTCATGAATCATGATCAGTGCATAGCACGAATATTCTACAGAAAGTATCTCCAACCCATAGGGCAAATCATCAGATTTCAATACCTACCAAACAAGATACCAAGAGTTGAGGAGATAACAAATATCTGGAAGTGCTCCTAACGGCTATTCACCAAATCATATACTCTATAGTAAATACCATTCCAATTATTCCACTGCCACTAATTAACTTTACCAAGGGGGTAACTTGCCTTAACGGACTCAGGCAATCCTGAACCTCCGTCATTACCTTCTCTCTTGTAGCCATCATTTTAACTGCAATGAAGAAGTAACAAGACCTGTCTTTCTAGATTCACCTATAGGATCTAAAATTTTCATCCCATTAGTGTTGAATATATTACAGGTACCATGACCCTTTGAGCCAATGATTCAGTTTCTACCCAACTTTCTCAACTTTCATGATGCATGATTTGAGTAAAACAAATGTTCAAACAATTAATTGGTAAAACGGAAACAAAAAGAGAACCCATAAACAAAGCGCACCAAGATTAACTGTTCCCTAAAATTTATGGACATCCAAACAACTTTTATGGTTTAAAACCCTGTCACAACACACAATTTAAAGAAGGCGCAAATGGAAAGGGAAAAATCACAAATTTTAAACATACGAAGGGATTTTATCCAAATAGACACACAGAAGACCAACCTGGCAAAGGTTGTAAGTGAAACTATCGTAATTGTCGATGACTATGATGGAGTTCGCACTGTTCTTGCTCTTATCAGCCTCCAAAGAGCTGGAATTCGACACAGCCATTGACATTGATGCCTTTGCAACAATCCCATTCTTCCTTACAGCCACAAAACCAACTCCTGTAAAAAGAAACGAAATTTCATTATTCCCCTTACAGAAATCAGAAAAAAGAAAGAGAGAGAGAGAGAGAGAGAAAGAGAGATACTTGATGGAGGAGAGAACTCAGAGGGGCGATTGAGATGAGGGTTTTGAAGGGTTTTGTGGGAAAGTAAAGGGATTGATTGAACGAGAGAGGATTTGAGAGCAGCCATCTCTGCAGCAGAGCAGACAGAAGATGGCTTGATGCCTTG